GATTTGCCTCCCCATTTCGCCCCCACCAGGAAGGACGTCACCGTCAATGTTCATACAACTGAAACCCTTAAACGTCGCTATGCCGTTGATAGGATCTTGGGAATGGGTTTCTCCAAAGGTGTGGTCGAGCAGGCCCTGGATGAGTGCGAGGGAGATGAAGTCAAGGCGGTGGGGGCGATTCTTAGAGATCTATGTGGTGTTACGGAGGATGCGGTTGTGGCGGATGGTGTGGAAATGGGGGAGGAAGAAAGGATACAAATCAGGGAGGAGGAAGTGGAGAGTTTGAAAGCGATTTTCGGTGTGGAGCGTGTGGAGTATGTTACATCCGATCAAGCTATTACGGTGACAGTTGAATTAAACGTCACCTTACCCGAACGCTCTTCATCGCGCCCACGACCACCGCGAAATGCCAAATCCACTCCCAACCCATCGGAACCACCTCGCACGACACTGGAAGTAACATACGCACCCACATCCCTCTACCCCCTCATTCCACCCAACACCATCCTCAAATCCTCCACACTACCCGCCTACATTCGCCTCGCGATCATCAAATCCCTCAACGTCGAAGCACGACGTATGTGCACCGACGGAGAAACATTGGGCGGATCTATTTGGTCTCTAGCTTGTTACGCTGAAAGCCTGGTTCCGGAGATTGTAGAGAACCCTCCACCTCTCCTTTCAATCTCCCGCGGCGTTTCCACCATTGCGCAGGAGGAGGCTACGCGTATTGATGCGGTCGGCACAGGGCGACCCAAAGCAGCGAAAAAACGCCGGGTCATGTCCGCTGCTGAGGAGGCCGAATTTAACAGGCAGTGTTTGACGAAAGAGCAGGGGAAGGAAATATTAGATGGATGGAAGAGGATGGTGAGCGGAAGAGAGAAATTACCGGTTTGGAAGTATCGTGAGGAGATTGTTCGGACTGTTATGGAGAGTAAGGGGAGGGTGACGGTTTTGTGTGGTGAGACTGGATGGTGGGTTGGTTTCTGCGAGTTCCCTCCGCTCCTCATGATTTGCATTGAGGCTCCAACACTTCGAACTCACACCCGTTCTCCTGTCTTCTACTATAGCGGTAAATCCACACAAACGCCACAATTTTTATTGTCGCATTATATTCGTACGAAGAATGTTGCAAACTCGACGATCATGGTGACGCAACCCCGTCGCATCAGTGCGATCAGTTTGGCAGAACGTGTTGCCTCTGAACGGTGTGAGGTAAGCCCATATCGTCTAGCCATCCATGTATCATGAACACCATATGTCGCAAGTCCACTTTTGTTAACAACGCTTTTTCCAACCGCATTTTGCGCATATAGGATGTAGGCGACAGCGTGGGGTACATCGTGCGGGGTGAACAAAGACGTGGAGATAAAACGAGGGTGGTATTTTGCACTACGGGTGTGCTGGTCCGTATGTGTACGGATTCGACAGAAGGAGGGTTGGAAGGTGTGGGATGTGTGGTTGTTGACGAGGTTCACGAACGTTCAGGTAAAGAATGCCATTCCACGCCATCTTGTGTCCTTGGGTGCAAGGAAAATAAATACAATTCTCACACACCATTCTTAATATCCAACAAAACAGTCGACTCAGACTTCACGCTCCTCCTCCTCCGCCGCCTCCTTCCCCGCTACCCCTCCCTCCGCATCATCCTCATGTCCGCCACTCTCGACTCAAACCTCTTCTCCTCCTACTTTTCCCCCGCAGCGCCCGTTCTTAATGTTCCGGGTTTCACATTTCCCATCACGGATTACTACCTTGAGGACATTGTTAAGATGACCGCATATAAGCCTGAGGGACGTTGGAGGAAGGAGAAAGGTGATGATGAGGACCAACGGGACGGAGGACAGTGGGGAGGTGTTGAGGAAGGAGTGAGGGGATGGTTGAGGGGTGTTGGGAAGACTTGGAAGGTCGAGAGTGGGGTTGTGCGGGAAGCAGTTAGGTGGTGTTGTGCGCAGTCGGAGGGAGCGATTCTGATTTTTGCACCTGGTAAGCGTATAATCTCCAATCGCATTCCTCCATTGCCATTAACTTACGCTATGAAAATTCATCAACAGGCGTGCAGGAAATCAAAGACACGATTCGCGCTCTGCAACCCATTGTCTCCGAATGCGGCTTGGAGGTCATGCCCTTGCATGCGAATTTGAGCCCTGCTGAACAGAGGAAGGTGTTTGGGAACGTTGGAAAGGGGAGGAGGAAGTGTGTGGTTTCGACGAATGTTGCAGAGACGAGTGTTACTATGTGGGTACCGTGGGATTTCATCTCGTGTTTCTGGTTTAGCACCCGAAGATCATTTTGCATGTCCAATGAATAAGCTTAGTTCTGATGTGCTTTGACCGTAGTGATGATGTGGTATATGTGATCGACACTGGTCTGGTGAAAGGTGGGTAATGCTTGTATCTTCTTCTCCAACTCCTGTATCGTTGTTGGTTGTTAATGACAATTGCTGTCTAAACTTCCCTAGAACTCCGTCACACACAAATCATGCAAACTCTCTCAACTGTGCCAACATCTCTCGCCTCCGCTCGCCAACGACGTGGTCGTGCTGGTCGTACTCGCCCAGGAGTATGCTTGAAACTCTTCACCCGCCAAATGGAGTCCGGCATGGCTCCCCGCACGGACCCGGAGATGCGGCGCGTGGGAGTTGAGCATGTCATGTTGAGTATTATGAGCATGACCGCTGGTGGCGGAATTGAAGGAGCTGGTGGGGTCAGAGGTATTTTGGGAGAGGCGATCGAGCCACCGGAGAAGGATAGAATTGAGGACGGAATGCGGGTTTTGAAGGGGGTCGGGGCTGTTGTTGGAGGTGGTGAGGACACGGAGGTTTTGACGGGGTTGGGAAGGTGTATGGTGAGTTGCATGGCGGTCAATTTATAATTTACGGATAGTTATCCCTGGAGGCTGACAATGTTTTGCGTCGTCAGGCACGTATCCCTGCGGACCTCAGGATCGCCAAAATTCTGCTGTAAGTATTCCTGCGACGTCGTCACCTTGCCATTACTCATCCACTTTGACGTCCCTCCACAGCTTCGGTGCCATATTCAAATGCCTAACACCAATTCTCACCATCGCCTCCGTCATGTCTACTAAATCTCCGTTCGTAAGTCCAATGGAGAAGAGGGAAGAAGCTCGGACGTAGGTTATTTGTGATTTGCCACGTGTTGGATATCCTCGTGACGTTTGTCAAATAGGGCACGAGAACGCTTTGCAATGGACCGGAGCGATTGGTTGACGGATGCGAAGGCTTTTGATGCGTGGGTGGATGCCATGAAGAATGGTGGACGGAGAGGCGGAATGGGGTTCTGTGAGGAGGTTTGTTGCTTCCCTTCCATCTCGCACCTTCTCCTTGCGTTGCAACTTGCTAATCCATTCCACTACAAATCAGAACTTCCTCTCCTCCGCCACCCTACAACAAATAACTGACACCCGCCGACAATATCGCGACATCCTCCTCGATCTGGGCTATATCCCTGCATCCTATAAATTGAATACTGATTCCAACTCCACCGGCAATAACATCGTCGACATGGACGATAATGCCTCCGATATGAGGATTCTAAAAGCGGTTCTTGTTGCTGGGTTGTATCCGCATGTAGCAAGAATTCAGTTGCCGGAGAAGAGGTTTGAGGAGACATTGGGTGGAACTGTGGAGATGAAGATCAAAGCGGAAGGTTTGTATTGCTGACCATTTTGCAACGTGTTTAATTGCTTTCACTCACCCCTTCGCTCCTCCGCCACAGAAATTCACTACTTCACCCCTTCCAGCCGCGTATTCCTCCACCCCTCCTCAATAAACTTCACCTGCGCCGACTACCGACAGGACCCCTTCTTAGTCTATTTCCTCAAAGTATCCACCTCCAAGGTCTTCTTGCGAGATTCCACAAGCATTGGTGTATGGCCGGTTCTGATGTTTGGCGGGGATTTGAGGGTGGATCATGAGGGGAGGTGGATTGGGATTGGTGGTATTGATGAAGGAGGTCAAGATGGGAATGCTACGGCGGGAGAGTTGAGAGTGCGGGCTGGGGGAAGGGTTGCGGGTGAGTTTTGTGCATGTATACAGGGTGCTGGGTCTTCTGGAAGTAACTTGGTACAATTGTCCCTCCTACAGTGCTGGTGGACGGACTGCGACGACTCTTAGACAAAGAGCTGGAGCGGAAGGTGGACGATCCAGGATTGGATATTGCTGGGACGGCGGTCGTGACGGTCATGGTGAAGCTTATATCCGGTGATGGATTATAAATGGTGGTTTGTAATTTATAAACGGAAGCCCTTCTCTTTGAATCTATTCAAGTCGGGGTTGTAGTGACCGGGGAGTCATTCATCCTTGAGACAGTGATCGCTCTTCAGCTAAATCAATAAGCAATTGCCATGCTTTTGGGCCGGGAAGCTGGATCAAAGACTTGTGTCTCGCAGATGGCATAATTGATTCAGATACATGACGAGGTGCAGGCCATGTTTTTGTGTATGGACACATTCTTATTTGGCCTCTTGTATTCCTCAAGAGTTAAGGCCGAGGAGGCTGGTTGGTGAAGGCGTTTGACTCTGATTGAGTGATGGCCGAGTGGTTAAAGCGTTTGACTCCCAAAGCAACGCGTCACCTCCAGCATCAAGAGTAATAGCCCAGTGGTCCGGGCGTATGATTCTCCTCTACAATTTGATTCACTGCCAAGTCGACAGCCTCAATAAAAAAGTCACTGTCGCTGAAAAACCCATGAATTCTCTTGATGTAGTTGACTGATGAGTGGAAGCTGCACGAACTGGTCGAACAGAGTTTTCGATAGGATGAAGAAAAGAAGAGCTGCACATTAGCATAATGGACGCAGGATGGGCCAGGTATTGCGAAATTCAACATTAGCCTTCGGAGATCGTGTGAGCATTTTGTTAATGACATGAAATTGTAAAACGTTGCGGCTGTGGCCGAGTGGTTTCGGTATTTACCACAGAACCTCTCGCCCGGCTACCCCAGACATATATTGCATAAGGGTCTGGTTTTTTGCCATACGGACACGATGGCCGAGTGGTTAAGGCGTTTGACTCGAAATCAAATGGGATCTTCCCGCGCAGGTTCGAATCCTGCTCGTGTCGCTGTGTTGGATGTGGGGACTTTTTCTGGCCTTCCCCTCCTTTCCCTCAAGTCCATACGCCCCATCTCGACCTCCAACCCGATTTCTTTTTTTTGCAATTCACTCATTCCGTTCTCTCGAACTCGGCATGTTTCTTCTTCATTTCCACTTCTGCTCGCGAGAGGTCCAAATTGTCAGTGGCTTTGCCTCACGGGTGCAAATCCAATGCTCTTCCGTGACACAATGGCTGTTCTGTGGTCGTGATGGGGCTGTGCTGACTGCCATGCCAAGATTCAATCTGCGCCCTGGAGCTCCCTCAGAAATTGCAGAATTTTGTCGCCATCCAATAGATCAAACAGTTCTCACAAGCAAAAACTAAAACATGTAAGTCTGCAAGAATTATAGCATATTGGTGTGGTTGACAACTTTGACGAGCGGAGTACTTGAGGTTGCGCATTATAACTTGGGATTGAACATATGCGGCGTTGTGCTGACAGTGGCGTTGCCTTTCAGGAGTAATGCCTCTCAAGACGCCGCAGATGAACGGGAAAGTGTACCACTGCTGGGCGTGCAAGTGTCGCTCCTTCATTCATTCGTCCATGAATGTGGTGGAAGAGAAGCACTCCACAATAAAACCACCGCGCAAGTTTGTGAAGAGTACATAAAAACACGGTGCAAATCCGACCAATCCCTGTGTGAAACCCTTGTCCGCCCAATGGTCAACCAAGCCAATTGGTTTGTCAGTCACTCGTGGCAAAACCTGTTTCTCGAAGTCATTGATGCCATCACCACCTTCTTTCACGGAAGCGAACATGACACGTACATCTGGTTCGATCTATTTTCCCTTCCGCAACAAAACCGTACCAAAATTGAATCCGCCTGGTTGCAGTCCACCTTCATCACGGCCATATCGTCCATTGGTAACGTCCTTTCGATCCTTAGCCCATGGAACCAACCCGTCGCCCTGACTCGAACCTGGTGTGTATTCGAAATCTTCGCATGTGCTCAAAGTCAATCGAATTTCCGCATCGCCATCCCTCCATCGGAATTGCCAACTTTCAAGGAGAACCTATTTGAAGATCCAACCATGTTTTGCGATATCCTTGCTCACGTAAAATCGGAAAGCTCAGAGGCCACAATGGCGGAAGACCGGGAGGCCATCCGGGAGGCGATCATGAATACAATTGGGTTTGAGGGGTTAGACTGCATGGTTTTGGAACGGTTGTACGAAGACTGCCTCAATATGCTTTACGAGCATCCCTCTGCGGTATCATTCATGGAAGGTTTAGTTCCCCTTTACGTAAGGCAAGGGAAGCATGACGCGGCGGAATCTCTATTTAGCGCTTGCATAGATAGATGGGCGGAAACTTCAAGGTCAATGCCGCACACCATGATCACGTCACTTGGGCAATCGGCTGCTAGATTCGCCTTCAGTGGGATGGTGATAGGGCGGGCCCCCTGTTTTGGGAACGTTGGGAGACAAGGATGAATGCACTCGGAGCGAACCATCCCGACACGCTTGCGAGGCTGGAGCAACTTGGCGATTTATATAGGCTGAAGGAGTCATTCAATGAAGCAGAGGAAACGTACCGCAAATACCTTAGTATCATTTTCAACTCACAAAATCAACATCGAAACATCTCCAGGGTTAGGGACAAGCTAGATAGAATGAACATGGGACGCATTCCGGAGGGATCATTGAGGCAAGCGATTCAGCCCCCAATCACTGATATCCATATCGAAAACGCACCCGCAGAGCCTTCCGCGCTGGACGAACACCGTGGCCTGCCTGAACCTGCTAAAACTCGGGATACGATGCTCGAAGGGGACCGTGACCATACTGAAGGGGAGGAATCGGTGCGATTCGCAATCGCCTTTGCGGTCATCAAGTTAGTCGTGCTTAGTGGGGTCATTGGGTCAGTCGTGCATAGTGGGCTTCTGGCAACCGCACTCTCCATTGTGGCGCTACTCAGTGAGATTGCTGGGCTTCGCCCTGTCACGGTGTGTTGTGTGGGGATACTAGTTTATGTGACGGGATGGATGAAACCTTCGTTGGTTGGTGTTGTCGGGCTGATTGGGATGAGTGGTCATGTGGACTTCGCGCTATTTGCTGCGATTGCCCTGAGCTGCCTATTCGGGTACGTTCCATTTCTGAACTCCTTCGTGGCTGCACTGGCCTTAGTCAGCTGGCTTTTGGCGGACCTCGGCTGCGAGCCGCCTGCGGTAGTCGCAGGCGTCCTTGCATTGGTGCTCTTCATTGTCTTTTGATGATTTCTTCCCTGTTTCACCGGCTAAGATCAAGCGCCCGCAATTCTTCGCTGAAACACAGCATTGTTGCTTTCTCCGACGTCCATTGTGACCTTTCCACCTAGTTCGGAGACCGGTACCCTCAATTGAGATCTTTTGTAAAACATGATAGATACATATATTATAAATAGCCCAAAACGATCTAGAATAACAATATACAGCAACAATCTCTGAAAGATGATTTTCATCAAGGCGCTCCATATTGTATCAGTCAAAGAAGAAATATGTGATTTACAGAAGACTGGGTGTGCGTGAAAACACTGTGACATAGCACTCAGTATCAAAAAAATCATTTGCGAGGACACCAAGGTGCTGAGGAGAAATGTCACAAAGCTATGCCTGTGACTAGAATGGTCGCATCAACCGAAACATACCGATTCACGATCGCATGCTATTGTGATTCGCCGAGCTCAAATCTCTATTTACAGAACCAAATACTATATCCAGACAATAAAGCACTGCTTTGAATTACTGAGTTTATATGGCACTACTAACATATCTCCAAAGCCCAACTTTGTTAACGCATAGAAGGATGCACCTCTTGGGTACGATCCCCAAACCCACTCAACAAAAACCTAGAACAAACCCACAGCAGCAGCAACCACCCCAACAATAGCCAAGGCTGCCGGGCCAGCCTTAAGGATCCTCGCATCACTAGAGCTCCCAGACCCAGTCGCAGATCCACTCCCCGCCGCCTTCGTCACATTGATCGGATTAAAGCTCGTCAAGCTCTGGTCCAAGCTCGGGTACACAAACACGCCCTGACCACCCGCGCTCTTCGCAGTCATGTTGGGTGCCAGTACAGGTTGCCACATGTTAGTGTTGAAAGGACCGGGAGTGTTGCCGGTGTTGTTCAAACCCATGGCGACGGCGTCGGAGGGGGAGACTTGTTTGTTTGTGTAGTTTGTTTGGGAGGCGACGAAGGAGAGGACGTTGGATTTGTTTGGGTCCACGTCGCCGCGGCCGAGGGCGGGGAGACCCCAGTTTGCGGAGACGGTGGAGATCGTGGAGTAGTGGCTGTTATGGGTGCGAAACGGTGTTTAGCCGGGGCGGCTGTATCTCTCAATCTTCACATTCGAATTACTCACGTATAAACAGTTGAATCATTCGTCCCCTTCATGCTCTGCACAGCCCCACCAAGCAACACAGTGTAAACTCTGTTCGAATCCGTGTACACATCACTCTCATCGAAACTCAAGATAACAAGCGTCTTGTCGTCGTTGAAGTTGGTGTTTTCCAAAAGGGGTGTGAGGAAGTAGTTGGTCCAGTTGGCGGCAAAGGCAATGTTGGTGTCGTGGCCGTCGTTGCGCATATTGGGGGTGATGAAGACCCATTGGGGAAGGGCGCCGGCTGAGACGTCGGCGGCGAAATCGTTGAAGTTGCGGATGCGTTGTTGGCGGGTGGAGTTGCTGGCGATTGATTCAAAGAGGACGAGCTGTGTTGATTGGAGGCAAACAGGGGATTTATTAGGAAGGTGGGAATCAGTGACATAGTCAAGCCAACGCATAAACTTACGGGGTTGTGCTTGCGAACGTAGTCAACGTACTTGTCGTCAGGGTTGGTGAAGTTGAAACCCTGGAAACCGTCGGTGGGCATGTTCTCTACAGCGGGAACATATGTCAAAATGCGATCAGAAGATAGCACATGATGACGCATTCAGTGTTACCTTGGTAAGTAGCCCAAGAGATGTTCTTGGTGTCCAACAAGTCAATAACGGTGGAGACGTTGGAGGGGACGTGGTGCTCGGCGTCGTCGCAGTTACCGAAGAAGGAACCACCGGCAACGGCCATATAGTTGGGCTCGGAGGGGTGCGTGACGGCGTAGTACTGATTAAGTGCAAATTGACATATCATCATTGGTAAGTTATGACTCCGACTGACCCTTTCCCCGCACGCAAGTGTTGCGTTTACGGTAAGGAGAATGTGCGCTTCGCGCACTTGTCCGAGCTCTGCTCGGAAACTGTTCGCTGGCGCTCACGCATGTGTTGCCTTTACACTTAGGAGAATGTGCGCTGCGCGCACCTGAAGCTCGCGAAGCTCGCGAAGCTCGCGATCCGTTCGCGAGAAATCGCTCACGTCGGGCTGGCGCCCTCCATTTAGTGCCTTCGGCACGGTCACGCTCCGCGTGGCCTCCCAACCCCACCCACCCACCGAAGCGCTTCGCGCCTGATAGGCCAGCTTCGCTGGCCCAATTCACCTCCCCCCTCCCCCAACACAAACACACACACCACATCACAGTACTCACATTGGTCAAAACAACGCCCTGGCTGGCGAGGCTGGCCAAGTAAGGATCAGTAGAAGCAGCCTCATAGTTTGTGTTTTCCAACCAAATTTGGATGATACGGTTGAAAGCGACTCCGGGAACGACGGGACCATTGGTGAGAGTTCCATTGTTTTGGCCAACATAGTGGGAGGTCTGCTGGGTGGGCGAGTTGGAGGGAGCAGCGATTGGCTGAACTGTCTTGGCCGCACCGTAGGCGGATGCGACGAAGGAGAGGACGGTGATGGCAGACTTGACGAGCATTTTTGCAAAATGGATGGGGAAGAAGGTGATGAGGTGCGAGGTCTGGGACAGAGTGCTATGATGGGCGAAGAGCGAAGCTAGGGGAAGCAAATGAGCCGGGAAGATGTTGGATATTTATATGCTCTCCTGAACATTACGGTGACTTTGCAAGGTGCTGTCTTCAACGGCCCGAACGTGCGCATGTGCTGGAGG